CACACGACGTAAGGAACTTGAAAGCTTTCTTTACACGTTTTATTCGCCGTAAGATGTAGTGGTCCTCCACAAAGGGCACATTTTCGCAAACACTGGTGATCGTCGGGTGGAGAGACGAGCCCACTGCTTCTGCACACCTTCTTTTTGGTGTTGGGAAGACGTCGGCCCTGTGTTCAAAGCGTCCACATTCATAACACACGTCATTTTGGCGCTTGTAAAGCATGCGGCGCAGCAAGCTGAATCGACAAATGGCGTAGTTGGGCAGCTTCAATCCATCGAAAAGCACTACCGCCATGGTGATTTTGTTGATCCTTTTAGCTTCTAGGGCCTTTGGATATTGCTGGTTGACAAGTAATTTGTTGAAGCTAGGCCGCGCTAATGTCTGCGTCCACTGCTCGAATGACTCCTTTACAAGTGTTATCAGGAGCTGCCATATATGCCGCGATATCGTACATTCCTTCACTTATCTGGATTTGCTGGATACCTGCGTAGGCGTTCGCGTTCTTCTGCTCCTATGTGGAAGCGGCGAGAATGTTCTGGGCGTTGTTTGGGGTAAACGATATCACCCTCGATCTCTGTCGGGGCTAGGGAAGCCGCCATGACAATAGCCCTGTGAAAGCCTTATTTGGCTTCCTTTTTGACGTCTAGTCCGTCTCTCGGCCTAATTCGTATGTGGTCCGTCGGCAACCGGGAGAGTGTCATGCAGCTGCAAGACGCTTCATCACACCTTGCGGGGATGCCGCGTGGCGGCCTTCCTTCGAGCCAACAAGTGATGTGTTGCCCTGCGAAGGTAGGCATTTCTACAAGATATTTCTTGTTCCTGCCCAGTACTCTCGTCCAACCCGGGCAATTTGCTTCTTCGTGAAGGGATTTGCTCTCCTTTCACCATCTCTACCTCTGGCATTTTGCTCCTCTTCTTCGCCTCGTGCAGATGCTAGACTTCGCCTCGTAGGGCTGGTCAAGGCACGGCGCATGCCACGCGAAAAGTTTCAATAACGCGGGCAAAGGAATCACTCACCAAAAGAAGGTCCAGTATCGACGTGATCTTCAAATAAACTGCGTCGAATGAAACAACGCTTGACCACATGAAGCACAAAATCACGAGCGATAACATCCACAAAATCGAGAGCCGATCTTCTCGCGTCGGCACTGGTAGGCGCCCCCGGGTCTTCTTGGGTTTGTGAAAGGTGTGTTAAAATCAACTCATTGGCTACATTGTCAAATGCCCCTTTCAAGTCGAAGGAAATTCTGAGCTTGTTGTTGTGAAGGTATTAGACAGGACGACGAAGGGTAACACGTAACCTGGGATGACTGGGGGATCGGGGTACAACTATAGTGCCGTTATAACTGGGAGTGACAGCAGCCATTAGGGCCAGAAAAATAAAAAATAGCACCAGAAGTGTGAACACATGTTTGCTTTACTCCAAAATGTGTGCATGCGACCACTGAGACTATTATTTCTACCTTATTCCTGTGCAAAAGTAAATAATATACAAATACATCGTACACGGTTTTATGTAGCCTCGACACGATACGACATACTTGTTTCGAAAACTGCTGCTTCGGTAAACACCTTAGTGTCATTCAGGAAACACTTTCCTGAACGACACAACGGTTAGCCTACAGTCACTTCCCCACTCCCTCCCCTAGGTGTCCCTCCCAGTGGCGTGTACAACCCTATTGTGCATGCCCGTGCCCTTATCCTTTCTTCTCCTACGCTCCTCCTCTCTCGCCTCAGATTCGCCGACGCAGGCAACGTCCGCTAGCGAGTTCCTTGGCTGAAAATTGGCAGGTCCCTTGAATAGTGGGAATCGATGGTATTCGAAGCACAACTGCTACGAAATGGACAGTAAATTATCTCGTACATCACCTCCATGCCATCATTGTCATATTTAGACGTGTCATTTACCACCGTCACCTATTCACGCCACGTGATACGAAATTAGGTATATGTCGAACTAGCGAAATGGCCGCGAGCACGTTATGAGTGCAGCATGTAGTCACATTTTACATGACACGCATATCATGATTATCAAATTTGGCACGTGTCATTTACTTTCATCGTCCATTCACGTCACGTGATACTAAATTTGGTATATGTCGAGCAAGCAAAACGTCACAGGTGCGCTATGAGCGTAGCAAGTTATCCCGTTTTACATGACACGCATTTCACGATTATGGTGTCTTAACCTTCATTGTTATTCACGTCACGTGATACTAAATTTGGTATATGTGGGCCTACCGAAACGGCCGCGATTGTGCTATGAGCGTAGCATGTAGTCATGTTTTACACGGCACGCATGCCAAGGTTATCGTGTTTGGACGTGTCATGTACCTTCGTCATCCGATCACGTCATGTATTACCGGATATGGTATATTTGAAACAAGCGAAACGTCCGCGAGCAAATCATGAGTGTGGCATGTAGTTATGTTTCTACATGGCACGCATCTCATGATTATTAGGTTTGCGCCAATCGCATACCTTTATTATCTATTTACGTCCCGTAATACCAAATTTGTATATATCAAGCTAGCGAAACGATCGTCAGCACACCATGAGCGTGGCGTGTAGTGCATGACTTTCATGACAAGCATATCATGATTTCCACGTTAGGGTCACTTATGTTCGTCATGCAGTCATGTCTTACCATACTAGCTTTGCAATGTGTCATGTGAACGAAATCACCGCAGGAGCAGCAAGACGAAAAATGTAAATCATGACATTCATGGCGCACATGTCATTATTTCATGTTATGGCTAATCATTTCTGCTCGCCATACGGTCATAATATGCCACACCAATTGTGGTATTGATACGATTATCTAAACGGCCAGGCGAGCTAATTGTCGTAGGGGGCCAGTTAGATAGATACATAGATAGATAGATAAATAGAGAGATAGATAGATAAATAGATAGATACGCTCAAAGTCACCGAAGCTCATTAAGAAATGTTTCGCATTTATAAAAGGTACTCTCGCGCTGCACAACCCTTCACTGATCACCCCGTATATATAGGCACTGGATCTTGACTTCCTCGGTAGTGCCAGTAGGAGATTTCACGTGTTTGTTGTTGAATAATGAATAACCGCAGCGTGCGCGTTAACTAAAAGCGGACTGTGGGTCTCTGTGTCCAATGGGAGTCTTCTCTCTCTCAAAGCCCATTAGCAGCGTTTGGAATGTCCCAGTAGGACACACCGGTCTATCACTAGCGCCATTACTGCTTGCTTTGCACCTCCGAAGGTTTTTCTCCTGCGCAACGTCACGATGAGTACCAGCGTCAACGCCACCGCCACTGTAAGCGTTGCTTCGTAGCCCGTTGCTTCGTATCTACACATGGTTCTCTTCTGCGGGAGATGTAATATTTATTTGGGTTTGATAACTGAATGGTTGACATTTTTGCCTTATTTATTAAGCGGCACTGTCGGTGTTGTACATTGGCTGGTAACAGTATTTCATTGTTGCCGTCTTTACAGGATAAGTGTATCAATATATCCTGTAGTTTGGGAATGATGCGTTTTTGTCTCCTCTCATGTACGATTACTGTACCCATATTTATGTTCACTAGTTATGATGGCCCTTTGTTGCCATTGTATAATGGTGGTATGAATGTGTTTTGGCTGGCTGCAATCAACCATCGTTGGTATTCTCATAGGCTGACTTCACGAACACTTTCTTTCTATTGCCTAACTGGGCCTTCACTAGGTAATTATTTGCCGACGTGTAAACAATAACAGGCTATTGTGTTATGCTGCTTTGCACAGGACTACTCAAATGGCGCTGCTCGTTCAGAGAAAAAATTGCAGGCTTTCATTGCCATAAACCAGTGCTGTGGGTACACATGTTCATGTTGACTGTTTGAAGGCATTTGACCCGATAAGCCAATATATATTATTTTTCCTCCCAACCAATATAGAAGAGCGTGAATAGCAAGTGATCTGCTGGCAGCATACATTAGTTAAAGAGATCAATCAATTGATATCAACAACCACAGATCATTCCTATAGTCCAGGGGTCTCGAATGTATCTCAGACAGCAGCCTCAGTGTTTAATTTAGTGGCAAACTTGTCAGCAAATGTTACCCCTGAAAAAAAAGTTTCCGATGTTTCATAAACTTGTCATTTCTGGAGGCGATTTGCATTCAGGATTTCATCTAAAAACGGGTCCATACAATTGCCGAAGTGCGTAAAATTTGAACGTCGATTGTGAAATCATGTTTTTTGTTCACGGTTATGACTTAACACCTGCATGGTGACAATCCTAAACAACAGTCTTATAGACAAGTCATGCCTGTGCAGGCCACGCACATGCTCATTATGAAATTAAAAAAACCACTAGGCCTGAGCAGAACGCACAGCACAGTCACAGCGAAAGATGAAATGACCGCCCTTCAGAGCCTTTTCTAAACACCCTTTGGGTAACTGCTACAAGCCCACTTTCTCCACAAAACGCCCTTCGTTAAACTTCTATATAAATTCTTCTTCGTATATCATTACACATTTGTTAAACAAGGTGCATCACAAATTATTTTGTTCATTTATTTATTGAACTAAAGAAATGAAGTGTAGAGACATAACATCCTTTATACGTACCTTCAGTGCGTTCATAAGATCCTGGTACTTATTATTATACGCTAAAAACTATAATTGTGCACACTGGTGTGCTGGTGTGCTATGTGCTTTAGCTTTCTACCACGGTCTCCGCTGCAGCGGAAATCATTGCTAAACACGCCCTCTAATGGTAGCCGGGTCCCCGTGGCGCATTTCCATATATTTGCTGGGAAGTGTGACAGTACGTACGGGTGGAGAGGTACACGTGGGCACGCAATTTCAGAAGCCATGGCATCTGTATCGTTGGTGATTGCAGTGATAATAGGTGGCCAACAGCTTTTGTTTTCGTGAATGCCAGTCTGTGCACATCTGCTTCACATTAACGCGCCTACAGTCATTGGAAAGAAACCACCCCAATTCGGAACACTTTCCACTATTCACGGTTTTTCTTAGGTATGTTAAATGGCTTTTATTGTGAAAACGTTTGGCCCTTTGCTCTACAGACTACGAATACATAAAACATTTCACACCAATAAGCTCCCGCCAAGCACAACGGTCTCACTCAGTGCCGAATGTATGCAAGACGTTGAATTTGTGGTGGTATACGCATTTACAAAACCAGATCCTGGAGCTAATCTTCGTCATCGGCGTCCGCGCACAAGTCTCGGCTGTGTGCAGGAACTACTACTCCACAGACATCCACAAATTGGTCGATGCAGTCTTGCGGTATGTTGTTCTTCACTCTTGCTCGTGTCCACAGGGTGCACTCTGGAACAAACAGTCAAGCGAAAATTCCATATATCCACTAGCTAAGATCTGATAAATTATATATACAGATGTTTGGTTGAAGCTGTACCTGCACACCTCGATGATTAAAGCTGCCTCAATGAGCCATATTCAGATATACCGAGCTGATGAGTAGTTTGCTGGACCGTAAAGGGTTTCCTTTTCTGTCCTGGAGACCTTTTGCGCTGTTTTGCCAACAATATGCTCAACCAACTAGCCCATAAGTTCCCTCATCAGTAACTCTCAGAGCTCAGCAATACGTCATTAAAACGTTCATGCTTTTGAGGAACGTAGGTTGCGTAGACACCACTGAATGCAGCCACAAGCTGCCAGAGTACTGGATCAAAAATACTAAAAATGATGCCACGCGCTGAAGTGGTTTTCTAAATCACCACCCTTTGTTATTGCTGGGCTTGTACCTTCCAGTGCGTTCCGCACGAAAGAACAAGAAAAACAAGAACGCTGAGTTTTGTACGAGTTTATGTAATTCTATTTATACCATATATGTTCTAAACCTTTTGGGGTCAGATATTTCTCAAGTAATACTTTCTTACAGTGTGAGCGTTACGGTATTACCAGAAAAGGAATTGCAGAGTCCTTTTAAATTGCTTCACTGTACCAATTCCCCCAACGTTCTATCTTTCTACAGTACTGCTATGCGTACCACTATCAAGTCCTAAACTTCGGAAGGGAGGCCAAAAACGTGCACTTGACATTCTTCTTTTTAAAGCAATTGGGCACATTGGTAGTGTCATGCATTCCTGGAAATATGATTTGATCTTTCTGAGAGTGATTACTAGTGCTAGTTGTCATGCATTAGGGATAGAAACCGTAATTATTAAATCAACAGTCATGCACTGAAACTAAATAGTGCACGTTCTTTTCTTTCTTCCCTGTGTCTTCGGTAGCGCTTAAAAATTCTCAAGAATAATTTTAATCTGTGCTTAAAAATAGAACTTGCCTTCTTTTGCGTTTTATCGAAAAGTACCTTTACAGAGTGTTCGTGCTACTTATGCGCTGCATGCGAGAAGGTTGCAGTCGAGATCTATAAAATAAACTTACGATGTCCATCCCCTTGCAACTCCAGATCTGCCACAACACAGTCCTTATAGTCTGTGTAGTATATGATTCCTTCCTTAGGGTTAGGATCTAGAGTGATATGATCATGCAAACATACATTGTGGCATGAACATTTTACGCGCACCATGTGATTTCGAGAAACGTAGTGCTCGCAAAGTTTTCTGGTCGCTACATTTGCGTCACACTGATAACTGGTGGTTGCATGATATGGTTTTGTTTGTTTTCATATAACTAGGTGATTTGCACATGTCTTCTTGTCCCACGTATTTTTCAGTAACACTTATAAGGACAAATTGGGTGTTTGTAAAAGGCACTTCTAGTTAAGTTTGTTTCAGCGTCCACTACGGGAGGCACCACGCTAAGGGCTAAGGGTATTTATGAGGCCAGAGCTGTGTAATGTTAGCCACCAGTTATTATAATTCACTAGAACGCACGAAAAAATACAGGGAATGCAAATCACAGGAACATTTTACAATATCTACCACAATTGGTGTGAGTATATTTGAAGTCAATCATTTTGATAAAGAGAGAGCAAAATAAATCCTGGTGTGAAACAGTACCTATACAATTTTTCCGAAGAGTGCTTACCTAAGTCTGACGTCAGAGTTATTGTACCAGGAGTGTCTCCTGGCCGGACGTAGAACAAAAGCACATGCCTGTAAGGTGTAAAACGTAAACATGTGGTTATATTCTTGCAAAATATTCACATGAAACATTGTGCGTCATTTAGCTTGCGAGAAATAGTGAACGAAGTGAACTTCCATTACAGCTATCATTGTTCTTGCTGTTTAATGCAAATTATTTGTATTACATGGAGGTCTGTGTATTGGATATCCGCCATACGAAAATGTGCAACAATTGATTGGCAGAATGCTAATACGCTCACAACTGGCGGCTTGTTCTGGCGAAAACAAAAGCAGTTTGATGCGTGTGATCTTCTGAAAGATTTTGCTATAGAACATCTCTTCAGTAACATTTCTTCAGAATTCAGTAAAGCTGAATTCGGAGTGTTGTAGATATTTTGCATTCACCAAAATGCAGAGAGAAGTGTTTGTGAAGCTGGGTGTATTTTAGCGCAATAGCGTTAAAGAGCTCGTTTCGAAAAAAATTTGACATCAGCGTTGGTGTCGCCGTGAGCATCGTTGGATGTGGCCAAAATATTGAGAAATATGAAGAAGAAAGAAATATTAAAAATTTCCGGATATGAGTGAGCATCAAACCCAGGCCATTTGCAGGCACTCAGATGTTTGACCACACCGCCACGCATCTGCTTAGAAATGCAGTGAACTAAGCTTACATTGCTCGGAAATACAGTGAAAGTAATTTTCACACTTGACAAACACAAGTGTCCATTTTGCAAGCTTCACAATACGAAATGTGTTATTGCAGTAATATTGCATAGTACCAGCATACATTGCCACGGGGCGTCAGAAATGTGATAACTAAAACATCATCTTGGTTTAGAGCCACCACCCATTACCAAAATTGCCAATGGAACCGTGCTTACATCTTTATGACGACGTCGTGGGCACATAGCAAGTTCAAAAACGTTTCATGGGTATGAATGCTCGTATTTAGAGCATGCTACCTGTTAAAAATAGCGCAGCCGTATGCAAAAGCGTCGCTGACACAAGCCACTTTCATCTTTATCAATTACACTGTAGTAGTCAGAAACTCAAGCTTCTTGGTTAAAATTATGCAAGAAAAATCGGTCGCATATCCCCGTACTTCGATGCAAATAGCGTAGAAAGACGATAGCCTTATGTCTTGATATACTACATGAAATATATCACCATCTGGCACTAATGTAAAGAAAATTAATTGGTGGCAGTACCGAGTTGCTCATGAATTGTTTTTTTAGCGAAGCGTAGGAAACACAGGCTTCTCGTTCATAGCTTCACATTGTGAGCGCCAAGTAACAAACACTGCGGTATTTACGAATGCGCATCTATGCACTTTCTGTATATAAAGGCGCTCTGTCTACCACTTATTGATGTTGCGCTTCAAATCAGCTTAGTGTTTGTTTTTTGATCGACAATGTTCACAAGTATGACTACAGCTACCAGACCCAGGTGGGTGGGCGTTGAGCAAGGGAACTTTCTGCGGTTAGCTGAGTTTGGCAGACATCAACAGATAGAACAGAAAAAAAATGTTTGCATTCAAGCGTCCCAAGAAAGGCTATCGTCTTCATAAGTATGCACTCAGTGGTTCAAGTTCGCCCTAGGGACCGAATATCGCTATCATGTTGAACTCGTAAAAGCGAAGCTTAGGGCTTCCCAAATTTTCGCTCCATAACGAGTCCGCCACTTGAGCACCATATCTTGCAGACGCTCTCCGAAAAGGAGTAACATGCGTCTGATGCATGTCAATCGAATATGTGACAAGAATGCGACATCATCGTGCTGGTAGGATCTGAAGCCTATCGGAAGGTGACCACCGGCAAGATTGACCGCATCAACGAGACGCCAGCAGTGATTGAAATAATGTTTGGATGGATGTTACAAGGACCATTATCGTCGGACATCCCGTACTCATCTAGCGCACTGTTCATATTTAGCAGCAATTCTTCTTCACCAGGCATAGACATATCTTCGATGTGGAGTCTTGATGCGATCGGAATTGATGCAAGCTATTCACAACCATTTGATATCGACGCACACCTCTCCACATTTGAGCGCTATATAACGAAGCAAAGTAGACGTGATCAGGTGCCGCTCATGGTGGAGCAGCCAGGACTACCAGCCGGAAACAGTAATCGCCGGATGGCAGAACAGCGACTACAACGTCAAATCAAGCGTTTCCGAGAGCAGCTAACGTTACTAGGGAAATACGACCTGGCTATTACCGCATATTTCGGTGACGGATTTGCTGAGAGGGTGAAAGAAGATAAACCAGTCGGAGACAATGTATACTATATGCCTTATCACGCAATAGTTCGTCGGGACTCCGTGACAACGAAGCTTCGAGTGGTGTTTGATGCGTCATCACATGAAGCTGGTTGGCCCTGCCTCAACTATGTCCTATCGAAGGGCATCAAGCTCGGTGTGGACATTGTCCAGCTACTACGGAACTTTCACTGCCACCCTGTCGTTCTTGCAGCCGAAATAACGAAGGCATACCTCCAGCTGTTGATTCGGCCCGCAGATTGCGAAGTTTTTTAGGCGGCAATGACGGCCAACTAAAGAAGAGCCCATGCCACCGATTAGAACTTGGAGGATGACGAGAGTACCGTTTGGAGCTGCATCAAGCCCGTTTCTTTTGGCGGCTACAATTTGTCATCAACTGTTCTCTTGTCAGCAGAACTATCCAGAAACCGTAGCTTTATTGGAGCACGCGTTATACGTACATGATTTTATCATCAGGCTGCCCAGCACGCAGGCGGCAATGAAGCGCTATGAAGAAACGAAGCAAATATTCTACGAGGCAAGCATGCAAATTCGCAAGTGGGCCTCAAATCGCAACGACTTGAAGGAAAGACTCTTACGTGACAGCTTTGACATCGGAAATGAAGCTGGAGACAATCTAATGACGAAGGTTTTAGGTGTTCCCTGGGAACGTTCAGGTGATCATCTTATCCTGAGCACTGAGCACGCAGCTATGTTCACCACTGGAAAGCCGGCTACCAAACATAGAGCACTGAAAACCTTGGCCAGAGTACACGACCCGCTGGGTTAATTCACTCCATTCACTATAAAGGCTAAAATGGTATTCCAGAATGTATGGGAGAAAAATCTTGCATGGAATGCCATACGCCTGAAGATGAACAGGCTGAATGAAATAGTTGGTGTTTTGAGCTGTCCGACTAAGCCGTCGCTATTTCACGATACATATTCTTACGAGACAACAATAAGCCCTTTTTATTCAAGCTGCACATTTTCGCAGATGCCAGTCCTAGAACGTATAGTGCTTGCATTTACGTACGAGTGAACTCGCCACCCGAAACATGCTTCACACGACTCTTTATCAGCAAGGGCCAACTTGCTCCTTTCAAAAAGGTATCGCTTTCATGCCTGGAGCTCCTGGCATGCACCATCGCGGTGCGGCTTATGCAGTACGCGCAAAAGGTCCGTTTTTTTTCAACACGCCACTGTTGCCTTTTGAACGACTCGCTTTGACGGGTACGCTGAACAGGACATTTGTCACCCAATCTTACTATCAAGTGACCGTAAGCTCACCGGCTTGGTCGTTTCGGCAGCACATATCTGTACGACCCACAGTGCTGCTTAAGCAACCCTCACTGAGCTTCCAGAGCGTTTCTGGTTATTGAGAGAGCGTCAAACCGCGAAGAGGATCAATTTTTATTGTAGACTGTGCAAACGCGGGAATCCTACAGAGGAAGCAGCACCCGTGGCCTAACTTCCATACAAAAGAATTGCGGAAACCATACCCTTCACGGTCGTTGGACTTGATTACGGCAGGCCACTGTACGCGAAGTCAGAAAGCGGTCCAAGAAGGACTTGTATATTTTTCTTCTCGCGTGCCGTCACACGTGCCATTCACCTTAAGCTAACATCAAACATGACCACCGCCACAACTTTGCTGGCCTTTCGTCATTTCATCGCACGCCGTGGTGTACCCTCAATTGTGTACTCTGACAACGCCAAGACGTTTCAGAGTTGTGCTAGATGCATAGTTTGCATCTGCGCTAACTGCTCTTCGTGAGTATACGCCGCGGAGATCGGGATACATTGGACGTTTATCGCATAACGCGCTTCATGGTGGGGATGGTAGGAGCGCCTCATTCGTACGACGAAAACCGCTTTCAAAAAGTCACTCGGACGCAGTAGTCTTAACGTGGAAGGCCTCACAATGGTGCTGTGTCAGGTTGAAGCAGCGATCAACAGCAAACCGCTCACCTATTTTGGGAGTGAGCCTAACGACTTACAGCCATTAACTTCATCGCATTTCTGGCTGGGTAAACGCCGCACATCATTTCCACAACAAGTCTGCCCATCAGAGCCTCATGAATTCATTGATCTGCAACAAAAGGCTCGTCATCGCCAGCGTCTAACAGCGGAACTTTGAAAGAGATGGAAAGGAGCGTACCTGGTATTGCTGCAGTCGGCACACAATTGCGACATTTTCAACAACAAAGCTCTGAGATGGTGATGTAGTGCTCTTTCAAAAAGACAGGGCACTAGCGACGTCATAGAAACTGGGCAGAGTGCTTGAGCTATTGCCAGAGAAAGATTAACTTAGTGTGCGCTTGCTCCATCCGTCTCGCCAACGGTTCAGTTGTGAATCGCCATCTGCAAAAGATTTGCTTGCTGGAAGCCTTCGATTCACCTTGGCCCGCGCCGGATAATGTTGAACAATCAACCGGAACGGAGGAACTAGAACGTGAGACACCGGGAGGGAAGAAAAGAAAGCCTAGGACACAGAGATCGCTGAGGGACGGCAAGATAGATAGTTCGCCATGACCGCAGAAAAAGGTCGCGTTTTATCGTACGGTTTGGGAGCCAGTCGTTTCGCAATAGTGGGTATACTTTATTGTAATTCTATTGGCGCTTATTTTTCTGTTGTAGAATTCTGACATAGTAGGACAGCGTAAACGTGCAGCCGTAGGGCTTCTTTGGTAATGAAAAAATGGGCTCGAGTGAAGGTTCTACGGTAAAAGGCCAACTGTTGTCATAGTCCATCGCTAAGTGCGCCTGTA